AGCGAGTGGGGGGGAGGGCACAACATTTTTTAAATCAAAATGGGGGTCCTCAGGTTGCTAAAGTTTGAGAATCGCTGATGTAATACATTCCAGTAAAGGACAGGAACAGCATTTTGCAGTCATATTATGAGAAAAGGGGTTCTCAGTGCATCTACACAGGTCAGCTATAATTTGAATCTGGATATCTATTGAGATTACTGTTCATATTACATTTCAGGTTTATTTATACATCTCAAATAAAATGCATCCTATTTCTACTGCTTTCTCTTTCTATCTGCTTCCCTGGTAAAACTGAATTTTACAGGTAAAATGTTATTCAGTATATTGAATCCATCTTTATAATAATAGTATACATTATATAAGCTCTTTCACATGTTACATCTATAACTTTGCATGCCGTATTTTGTATTTGTATACAATTTAAGTTACTGTGCCTATGACATGTAAAAACTGGCCTGTGCAATGTTTATGTTATAATCAACTGCCACCTATGGCAAATGGAGCATTTATTATTGGGCCCAATATTTAGGTTGTGATCTTTTCAGGTTGATGGGCTGTGGTAGTGAGATTAATCTCTCTAAGCTTAACCAATCAAAATCCTTTGAGGGGTGGGAATGATATGGGTCTGAAATTCTGTTTCACAACCATTTAAAGCAATGTAATGCAATGAAGCTGTATCAAGAGGAAGAAGCAATTCTGTGATGCAGAAATCCAATTCAGATGAAGCAGGATAGCAGATTTGCTACTATATATTCCATAGGGTCGGGAGTCAATGCAGTACCATGGTCAGGATTGGAAAGGTCTTTTATAGGCCTGCAGAGTTGATGTTTGCTAGAGGCAAACTATAATTACAAATGTGAAAAGAATGTGCATAGAAATGCAGCAAGTCTCAGACTAGTTTAGGCTCTGGACTGATGCTACTGGAGCAGTTGCAGAGATATAGTTTGTACCTGCACTCGCTACTGGAATCTACCAGGTTCTTGAACCATCCTATGGAACACTTGCCAGGTCAGAAATGCAGGGTCTGTTATGTAGGACTAAAAGTAAAGCTCCAAAATAAGCTGGGAGCTAGAAAATGCCAAGATGTAGCAGAGCTCTGAAGAGACATTTAGAAAATGCAAAGAGGCAGAGATCTCTTTCTCATCAAGGTGGCCTGTATAGGGTCTATTAGAAGGGCAAGCTAGCCATCAACACTGTATGAAACAGCCTTAGGGGAAAGAATAGGACTCAAAGGGGTTTTAACAGTCCTTGGAGAAAGTTACTAGTCAAGAATGAGTCCAGCGTAGTCCCCAAGAAGATGTTGAGAGCAGCAGAAGAACCAACCAGGGTACCCAGCTGCAGGAAAAGATAATCTAGTTATCACTCATGCAAAGAGTTAACACTTAAAAAAATTTTTTCCCCCACTGCACATCAAAAAATGTGCTCCTGTCCTAGCTAAATACTATCCATAAACTGTAAATCAAAATAAGGAAATAATTATAAGAAAAAAAAAGGATTCTTGCTATAGCACCTCTATGCTCAGTTATTTCACTCAATAGCTATTATAAACATGCTACTGCAGCGCAATGTTTAATGGAAAAAATAAAATCTTTGCACTAGATATAATTTCAAGAAGAACCCTACAAGCTTCACTGAATTTTTAGGTATTTCTTTTATACTTTTTATTCCGCTACGTTAATGATAATCTACCTCAGCCCACTAGCAGTTTGAGGCAGAGGAAATGAACTTGCTTTTTACTCTCTGTTGGTAGGTGAAATAATAAAGTTTGAATGATGATTGTATTGATAAGGTGGAGAAATGGAAAGAAACATCTATGTGAAATTTAGGAGATTTCTTTGCTCACATTAGTGACAAGTTTAACCAACATCCTATTACATACAAAATCGCCACTATTTTAAAAGAACATTAAAGGTGCAAAGTCAAAGACAAAATAGTTAGAAAATGTAAATTAAGATTGTTTAATTTTGCCCCAGTGTATATGCAGTATGATACATACTTTAATTATACGATCACATACACTATTGCTACCCTATTACTCCTGCCTCATTCAAAGCACAGGACGACAGTGCTCAGGAATGAGGTAGCTGTTCAATATTTCCTCATCATTCAGTGTGTAGCCCTTAGGCTTTATTCACTGCACACCGTCCAAACCATGCACTGAAATAAAGAATTGTTAATTGCTTCATGGACTTTTTAATGGTGCTCATCTCTGTAATATTTGGGCACTTCATAAATATTAATGAATACATCTTCACACCTCTTCTGTGAGAAAGAAAATTATTATTATCCCCATTTTACAGATCGAAGCATGGAGAAATTAAAACCATAATGTCCAGAAGTATCCACTAATTTTGGGTGCCTATCCTGAGAGACTTAAGGCCTGATTTTGCAAAATACTTCGCATTTTTATATCGTTACCATGATGCTAGCAGAGCAGGTGCCAGCTCATGCCCAGACTCCTAGGACTCACTGAACACAGACAAATGCATAGCTGGAAACCAATCTGGCTCATCTGTGGGTTAGGATTGTTAAAATAGGTATTAGATTTATAAGAATGTGTTTAGACTTTATGGAATACTTGTAGGATGCTGTATGTATTAATCTCACTTTTAACATCTGTACCCCATGTTACAGTAAAAGCTGTTTTATCTGGCACTTCACCAACCGGAAAGCTCTATAAACTGGCATTTCTGATCTTCATTGAAATTCCGGTTTATAGTCCGGTTGGTGTAGGTCTGGCAGGGGTTGGGACGCGGGAGAGGGTATGGAGCGCAGGCTCTGGAAGGGAGTTTGAGTACGGGAAGGGGCTCGGAGCACCGGCTTGGGGCGCGGGAGGCCAATGGGAGCTGCGGCGGCGGCACCTGCGGGCGGAGGCAGCGTGGAGAGCCACCTACCCACGCCTCTGCCTAGGAGCAGCTGGGACAGGTTGCCGCTTGCGGGGAGCCGCCCAAGGTGAACATCCCTGGATCCGGCACCCCAAGCCCACTACCGTGCTCCAACCCACTGTCCTGAGCCCCCTCCCGCACCCAAACTCCCTCCCAGAGCCTGCGCCCTGCACCTCCTCCCGCGCCTCGCCCTGCACCCAAACACTCTCTCTATTAGTTAACGGGTATTTTTCACTTACCAGCACCCCCCATCCTCCAACATGCCAGATAAAAGAGCTTTTACTGTATAAAGTTATAGTAGGTGTTTGAATGGTAATCCTCGGTAATTGTGTAAGTCATCAAACAGAAAAGGAACATTAATTAAATGTAGAAATGCTGGCTTCCTACAGAAGGTGTTAGGTCTGGCCCACCAAGAAGGCCCACTGAAACTAAATGAGCCATTGTGAAACATCGAAGAACAAGAACTCTGTCCATTGCTCCTCCCAATACCCATGTAGAGAAGATGTGCAGGTGGACATGTCCCATCAACCTGAACTCTGGGGGGAAGGGAATAAAAATCACTGATAAGAAAGAACTGTACCTATAAGCTGCTTGAACTGTAAGGTGCAAAGACTTCTAAGCATAAACAAAAAGTTCCCCTGGGCTTGGCCTGGGTTAGCCATAAAGTACATATATACCTTGCATATTACAGCAGCTTCTATTACCCTTTCGGAACATAAGACTGCAACTAATTTGTGCATGCACGTTTACCTGCTTTAACCTTATAAATAACTCATTGCTTTTTCCTAGTTAATAAATCCTTAGATAGTTTATTATAGGATTGGCTACAACCATTGTCTTTCGTGAGAGATCTAGGGTGCAACTGACTGGGCATAAGTGACTGGTCCACTGGGAAAACCAAACTTGATAATATAAACGAGGCTTCATTTTCTTACACCACAAGATCTCTCTGCCTGTCCTATTAAATTTCCCTGTCCCCTCAGTGACCCTCCCTGCTGTCCACTCTCCCTGCTCCCCTCATATTGTCTCCTTTCTCTCTTGCGTGTATGAGATTGATATACACACATACACACACGTCTGATCCATGAAGTCAATGAAAGCTGGCTTTGACCCTAAGTGTTCCCACTGGGTCACAATGCGCTTGAGATAAAGCAGTAGCGCCCACTCACCTCTAATCTTTATTGTTTGTTACAAAGATGGCCCTGACCTGTTTGAACAGTACAATAGGACTGATCATTTATACATATACACCAAGCTGGTGTTCATGGCTGCAAGGTGCTTGCTTTGTATCTGGATTTGCAGGAAGTGCCCCAGACTGTCTTATGTATGATTTCAAAAGGTGGAACTTTTGAAGCTTGTGAAGTCCCATATCATCATTTCTCTTTGTCTACGTCATTCTGGGGCACTTCAGACTTCAAGCTAGGAAGCAAGCACAACCCATGAACACATGATCACTTGTTCTGTTCTGGAAGGGACTAAAGAAACAATTTGAGATGAAAGATTTTTTAAAATTATTAAGCTCATAGAAGTGGGGAAAGAAGACACTGCAATACTACTCAAATGGTTATGGTGGTTGTAACTCTTTCCACTCAAGTGGGGATCTTGCACAAAGCCATTGCAAAGCTAATTCAAGGTAGCTGGGTCTCAAAGCCTGAGAGAAAGAAAGTGCGGGGGGATAGGGGGTGGGAGAGGTAGGGAGGAGAGAATGGGTGAGGCCGAGATGGGGAATGGGGGATGTGCCACATCTATGATGACACCTCAGCACGCAAATTTAATTTTGTGCATATTTTCCAGCCTTTCTGTACTTCACACAGTCTCTAAATAGCAATTTATTTTCATTGACAATGAAAGTACTAAGGTGTTTAGAGGCCATTTTCAGGTCAAACCAATCTCACATCTGAACTTTAATTACCCACCACATCATTTGAAAAAGGATACTTACCATTGGCTGAATTGGTGATCCTGGAAACATGAACTGCATCTGCTGGGCAAGCATTGCTGCTGCAGTTTTCTGTTGGATTAAGTTGTTCCTGCCATTAATTTCTAGTTGAGTTTTTAAATGTGTTGGTGGATGGAGATACTTGCAGTTCTCTCTTGTACAACGACCCTGCAAAAAATTATATCAGTTGCTTTATAGCTTTGAATGGCAGTTTGGTGTCTCAAAACAAAATATTACACCATCAATTAAGCAACAAAAATTGAGTTGCAAGGCATTTCCTTGGAATTAAGTGACTAGATAGGAGGAGATGACAGTTTACAGCTGTGCCTCAGGCCAGTAACTGTAGTTGGTCACTAATGTTATCAACTGAAAATTAAAAAAAACAGGCTAATTTTAGAAAATGATTGATGGTATGTTAATTGGTAAATACAGGACATTGCTACAGAATTAATACCCTGAATATTAGCCAGACTGCTTGAATTTCCTCTCAAGATATCCTGATCATGGCCTCTGATGTTACCACAATATAAATGTTAATAATTAATATTAATAGATTTAACATTTTAATTTAAAATAAAACATAGCTTTTAAACACTGAATATTAAATGTATGTTTGCAGAACTACAAGTCTTAATATTAGTAATTTTCTTTGTGCTTCCTCTCCATTGTATTGTTGCTCCTTTTTGACTTGAACAGCTAGTCAAATTTGGGGGTTCCAGTTGGATGTAGGATTTGGTGATAGGTATTTCTTTGATGCAGTTTTGTTTCTTTACAAAGAATATACAAAGTCCTATGTCTCTGAAACAGGAGGAAACAATAGCAGGAAACAGATTTTTTTTCTTCACAATTAGGATTGGAATGATTAGATTTTTATCGGTAAATGTCAATAAATGTCAATTTCACCATACATATACAAATGCTGGAAAAAATATTTCCATAGATCATCACAGAAATTTACAGATAGTCAAAGAAAGAAAAAATGCTGCTTGAGAACTTCTTAGAGTTTGATTTAAGGATATTTATTTTGTATATTTTGGCATATAATGTTGATAATTCGTGTTTCAATGGTTTTAAAGCTTTAACTTTTTGAATCTCAATATCATTAAATAATTATTGTCCAACTCCCCCCATATCTTTGTACAACTGAAAATTTAAAATCAATAAAAAGGAAAAAAAAAAAGACTTTCAACTAAACATTGATATTATCCGTCAAAATTATAAAAAATAAAAAAATAAAAAATGAATTCTGCAAGCCTACTCACAGAACCAAGAACACTCTTTTCAGCCTGAAACCCAACCCTAAAACCTCTTCTCAGGTTTCTTCTGGTGTCAGCCACAGTGCTTTCAGCTAACATTTCAGGTTTTCTCTCTCAGATCTGGTTGACACTACAAAGACAGGTTGATGCAAAGTAGCTTAAGTTGACCTAACTATGGAAGTGTCTACACTTAAATTTAGCTCCTGCCATTGTAACTGCCTCACTACGCCGACTTAATAACTCCACCTCCCCCAAGTGGCATAGAGTCAAGGGTCAATGTAGTTATATTGATGCAGTGTCAGTGGAAATACTGCATTGCTTATGTCGACTGTTACCGGCTTTCAGGAGCCGCCCCACAATGCCTCACACTGACAATACAATTGATACAAGTGCTCCTGGTGAGGACATGCACCGCTGACACAAGGAGCAAAAAGTAGACACACACAAGCGATGTAATTACTGAGGCGGCTGTATGCTGATGTAAGTTAGGTTGATTTAATTTTGTAGACATGGCCTCAGTTTTTTCCTCTCTTCTGCCTTCCCCCCATACATACACACCCACCTAAAACAATAGTTAATAAATGCTCTGGGATGGGTTTGAATACTCCTTTTGTATTAGGTGGGGGCTTATGCATAGAGTTATGTTAACTGAGATGAGTTTACACCTATCATTCTAAATGGGGTTTTACCTCCCAGAACAAGATTTCACCCAGCTCATAAAAGAACGTTTATAATTATTACAGCTTTATGTAGTGTTGTTATTACCATCTCGATCCCAGGATATTAGACAAGGTGGGCGAGGTAATATTTTTTATTGGGCCAACTTCTGTTGGTGAGAGGGATGAGCTTTTGAGCTATACAGAGCTCTTCTTCAGGTCTGGGAAAGTGTTATAGCTAGAACAAGATCAAACAGATAGTTTAGCATAAGTGTTTAGCACAGATTCTAAGGGACCATTCAAGGTGGAGCGGCCAGTTAACACGGCCATAGTGTTTTTGTCTTAGCATTTTCCTGTGTGAGTTCATTCTAGAGCAGGGGTGGCCAACCTGAGCCTGAGGAGCCAGAATTTACCAATTCTGCCAAAGAGCCACAGCAGCCCTAATATGTCAGCAGCCCCCCCCCATCAGCTCCCCTCCCCCGCTCCCAGTGCCTCCTGCCCACCAGCAGCCCCATCGATCAGGGCCTTCCCCCCCCCACACCTCCCAATCAGCTGTTTTGTGGCGTGCAGAGGCTGGGGA